ACAGGGGGGTCAGTCATCTCCATGTCGGCTTCTGGAATCATTCTCCTGCTTCGAAACGTCTCTATCCTCCCGAGCCGAATGAAAAATGCCAGAGGAACAAAAATTGCGATCGTAACAAAGTGCCGATGTCGCGGGGGCAGGCTAGCGCATCTTCTGGACGAAGATGTGCGCATTTTGCGCGTCTCGTTCAGATGACTTGACTTTCTCAGTCGGACTTCTGATGATGAGTACCCGAAGCCTTCTGAGTTTAGTATACATGCACCTCCGGAAGCGAGCTCAGAGTGTTGCTTTGGATGCTACACTGCACCCTCAATACAGGAGACAAGTCTCTTTCGGGATCTACGTGGGGCTCGAATTCGCAGGAGTGTTAGCAGCGAGCTATTCAATACGATCGGGGCATGATCACTCAGATAGACCAAGAGCAGACATCGAGGACCGATTATGCTCGACGCAACAAGGGATGAAAGGGGGAGAAGATCGAGGAACTGTTCCACTCCACTATCGTCACCGAACAAACATGTACCAGGAAGGCCGACTCAAGTCAACGATTTTGGTGTTTTCTCGATGATGTTTCTCGCTGGGAAGGCCTCGGCGCCCAGTCTTGTCTCATACCTACGAACATCAAGTACATATATTCGTCATGCACGTTTAAGAATTATAACACTGGATTGTACGTCTTCAAGTCAAGGCGAGACTAGCTAATCGAGTAGGGCTCTCCGGGGTCGAGTAGACAAAATCCTCGAAACCCATGGTCAGAGCTAGCAGAACGTCGATGGACATCCACAAAATTCCAGGGAGCATCGGGGAATCGCTCATTCCTCAATCAGATCGCATATGGGGATCCGAAATTGGATGGGCATATGTCGGAATCCCGCGTAAAATGATGTTCGAGGGGAAATCAGCCATTCGGCGATATCCTGGATTCCAGGGACTTCTGAGCCGTCAGCATACCGCAAGAGACGCGATACTGGTTCTGGTCTCCTGCATCGAGGGCTCCGTGATTTCGGTCCGGCAAAAAAATATCCTCAAGCTAGATGCTGGAGCTTGTGTTCAAGTGGCCGAGGTCATCCTGCTCAGCTGAGCACACGCATCAGCTAACCCCAGATTTACACGTTCTCTAGCCTGCGGTCGTCTCCCTCGGAGCCCGCAGGTTTGTTCCGCTGTGAGGCCGTACCTCGCGTCATCCTAGAGGGTGATTTTTCTTCCTGCCCCGACTACCTTATCTCCGAAGTCGGGTTCCTACAGTGACTCTTTTGTGTAGTGGCATCTTGTGGGTCGTAAGAATGGGGGAATCTCTCCTGAATGTGGCGTTTTCGGCATCCACCCCCGCATTCTACAGCGACTTCTTCAGCCAGCGACCTACCTCGTATTCTTTTCGCTGGTGGATCTGATGCAAGGCGCCCACTTCACGTATTTGGTCGGCATCAGCAATACTCTGGAGGAGAGATTTACTATGCGCTCTCAGATAAGTTCGGTAATGAACACCGCTGATAAGATCCCTCCGATCCGTAACTTATTTCGAGAGATGACAAGGTTTCGGCAGGTATAGTCCAAGATGAGATTTCGATATCTTTTGCTCCGATCCAGGTTACGACAGACAGCGGAGGATTCCTGTGTTGGAGCACCCATAGGTTACTTCGCATCGAAGGGACACAGGCCGAGATGGACATCGTTTGCAGTGATTGCTTCGAGTGTAGCTCGCGTCCTTGGTGCCCTGCCGTATTCCTTAGGCGGCCCGGGCAATTATCGTTTCGACGACGAGAACAGTCTTTATGGCAGAATAAAAAAATTAGTGACAGAATTTGGGTAAAAAGTCGTCATGATGACTCAAGCTGTGATAATACGAAAAAACTCACAAATGTGCCTCCGGTCGTCATGATATTCTCCTCCGATTTCCTCACGGGAATCGTGACCACCATATACTACTCGGCGGGGACTGCTTTCTTTGACGACAACCTGTCTCGCGAAAAAGCGCCTTTGTACATGACTGCTGCTACGTTTCTACGGGGACTGGGCCCGGCCTTTGGCTTCGTTCTATGATTGGTTCGTGTTCCTCTACGAGAATCCTTCACATCCGCCACACTACGGGCCCAGCGACGCATGATGGATAGGCGAATGGAGGTTTGGATTCCTGATCCTTCCATCAGGAATCCGCTCTTCAATCCATCCTCTCGATTCCGCTCTTGATATTCCCGGAGATGAGAGCAGTGCACAACGGCGGGGTACTCTGTCTCTCGCGATTCAGAAATGGAATCGGGCCAATGAACTCTTTTCGAGGCTTCGCGATCTAGCGTACAACTTTCATCGATAGCCAGTCATCACACAGACTGACTGAGTGAGACCTCCGAGGAGGCTGGGATGAGGGGAGCTTGCTCGAGGCTCGTTCGGAATCCAATATAGGTCTTGAACATTTTCAGCGAAGTCTTCAAATCGTTTGGCATCTTTGGATTGTACGATTTTCTCCCGAAATACCTTCAGGTACCAACAGCATTATTTCCGAGATTATTTCCATTATCGCGCCCGGGAGCCCAATGAAGCGATGCCGACTCAGTTTCCATGTATCTGAGCGTGTAGCTCTCGTCAGGATCAATTCCATATTTCTGCTTCAAATGCTCCACTCTATGGCGGCTCCCTCCCAATCGCAATTTCATAATGCATTGCTCTCGTCGGGGGTATTGCCCTAGGGTGGGCAGATCTCCTCGGTCACTAACATGAAACATTCTCGATGTCGTCACAACTGAGTCAGAAGACTGAATCCCCTGAATCTGAATCATCTCGCGAGATCAGAGTCAAGTCGTTCGAGTTTCTCGCAGGCATTGGAAACTCGATCCCCGGCTACTTCCATTCATGATGTTCATCTCCGGAATCGCAGCAGTCATTCCACTGATTCTGTAAACGAGCTTCAGGCGAGCTCCGCACTGAGCGGCGGCAATTCGCGGACAAGGTATCTCGAGAGATCGGACTCGGAATTCCGTATATTTGAGATTCAGGCTATCCTTTCCTCATTTTACTCGACCCGGGAAGGAGTCGGATACCATATGCCCCGGACTCTTTTCCCGGCCCCGTCTCGCCTCCTCGATGCTTTACCGCTCGACCGCTCCAATCAGGTACGAGAAACATGCCGCAGACAGAGCAAAGGGTGCCGGATTCTCAGAATCGGTTGCCCATCAGAGAAAATCTCCTGACGTCTCCTGACGTGTCACTGGAGAGGCCTCATTCATTTCCTACCTCCTTCATGATACGCTCGTTCGGTCAAGCATTAGGGTATCATGCTCCCCGATGCTCAATTTCGTAGCGATAGAGTCTTTCTTCGATCCTTTCGTCTTGTTTGCAGCGGAGGCCCCATGGACTTACCTTGCAATAGCTAACTGTGACTGCTCACTCAGGGTGTTCCAACCTGTTTGCAGCAATGGAACCACGTTCTTTTCGCCTTGTTTCGCGAGTTGCCCACCTCAACCCCAGCTGCCTAGCTCAATATTGGTCTTCCTGAATCAAGCAGTCTTCCGAACCAAGATATTGGTGTGTCTGGGTAGACGACAATCTATTCTGTGATCCAAGATGGTCTCAAACTGCACCTGCGCTGCATACTCGAGGTTGGACAAGCTCGCAGCAGCCGTCGCCCCAGGGGAATCAGAAACTCGACAGGTCGTCGAAGGCCATTGCGGAGAATCTCTTGATGAATGCAGCGAGCAATATTGACGATATCTCTCCGCTCTCACGCTGGCGTATTGTGTATCTTTCGTTTTCGAGACAGCACGCATTTCATTGCCGATGAGGTAAAGAGAATAAAATTGAGCCCGCGTTTTTATCCAGAGCCTGGGACTCGCAGCGAATAATAATGATACGGGGAGAATGAAGATTCCCTCCACTTAGTTGGATGTGTGGTCCACACAGTGTGGACCCGGAGGACAAGACATTAATTCGGTCACAGCATTTACCAAGGCGCGGTCGCGCTGTTCCTACCGAAGGAAGAAGGAGGAATTCTGAATCGAAGGAGTCTTATTTTCCGCCCCCCCCCCTCAACGAAATATGTAGAGAGACCCCCGAACAGCATTTTTGCTGCTCGTAGCTTCCCTTCCGTATCCGCTGGTTTTCAGCCATTTGGTAGACTCCAAATGCGCTTTCCGCGAAGAAAGCTGTTCGACAAGAGGGAACTGTTAAGTGTGCAATTTCGATGATCTCAACCACACCCTCCATCTCACCGGCGTCTTCCTACTCGCTGGTCAGCGTGTGTTTTCTCTTCGTATTCCTTTTCTCCAGATCGTCTCGAGTCTCGACTGAATCATTTCTACGACGACGACAATGATGTCGAGCTTTCACACAAGACTGGAGTCTCATTGGAATAAAGCTATCAAGTTCACGGTCATTACTTGTTTTTCATCCGCACAGAATTTCTGCATTCAAGACCGTTTGCGATGTCGGCACAATCCTACTCGGTCGAATTTTGGCGGTCGGAACGAAAACTGATGAGCAATCGTGGACGGAAACCGCCGAATTCCTACGGCGATTCCGCTAGAAGCAATTTTAAAGGGGCTCCCATTGTGACCGCTCCTTAGGATTTTTCCGGAGAATGCCCTGCACATTCGCACGCCACCTCGATGTCTCATACTGATCAGAACATGAACTCGTCGCCCGACTATCCATCGGCATACTCTGACCTGAAAAACGAACGGAGCTTCATGGATCCGATTCACGCTGATTTCCGCCTCTGATTGTGAGAGGACAGAATCGATCTCTATGATGTTTCGAATCGTATCGGAAACCTGAAGTCCTCCTCGATGTGGTGGGACATGGACACATACAGATGTTGAGAGTCTCCCCGATTCGATTTTCGAGACTGCGTATTGAAGGGCGTCATATTTTCCAAGCTTCGAGTGGTGCGTGCGTTGAGCTTCTTTTCTGTTTTTTTGTCTTTCAAGGGACTTCGAGACTCTCCGAAGAATCAACCCTGGACTGACCTACTATCTTGTTGCCTCTCTAGGCCTGCGACGGTAAGCGCAATGAACCCAGACGGACCTGATCAAGTCGAAAACTGGAATCGAGTCAAACCGACGTCGGAAGGCGAAGAAGCTCTTCTCTATCCTTTGAGTGCGATCCGTGAGTGATTCTCCGAGAGACCATTAACTTGGAGATACGAGGGAATCTAACTGCATTACGATTTTTGATATTATATTGATACCATGTTTCTCGCTCCCCCTCCCCTCAAATGAAGCGTCAAAGTACGCGGGAGTGTTCCCGTATGCTTCGTTCAACAAAATTCAGTCCGGATGCTTGTTTGATGTCTGGTTCAACAAACAGTCGTTGGTGGTCGCCGCACCCACCGGGTCCGGTAAAGAGTTTGTTTACATTGTTCATTCCACTGGTGAGATCTGCTCAGATGATGAGTCAAATGTAACTCGCTGGTGAGCATGGAATTCACCTTGAAGGCAAGACGGGAATCCTTGAATTGGCTGCGTGCCGAGCATGGGAAGATTTCGGACAGAGTACGTTGGTCGTGTACATCGGTCCAACGAGAAGTCTCGTGCGCGAGCGAGTCTGCGATTGGAGGAACAAATTCGCTCAGCTCGGCGCGAAAATCGCTGAGCTCACGGGTGATGTTGATCCGGACTTGTCTCAATCCGTCGCAGCTGATGCTCATCTGATTTGCACTACACCGGAGAAATGGGAAGTGCAATGGCGCACTCGGAGGAAACAGGTAGGATGACTCGGTCTTCTAGGCTTCACATATCGAGTATATATGGTGGCATATGGGTAAATTCCCTTTGCTTTGAGCGAGCTCGTCTCTCATCGAAGGTCTGCCTGTATCTCATTGACGAGGTACACAGCATCGGGGAACCCGAACGAGGTCCACTATTGGAAGCGATCTTGACGAGGACCGTAGTCCGACCGCTCAACAAGAAGAGTCCACCCCGCTTCGTGGCCGTGTCTGCCACCGTTGCGAACCCCCAAGAGGTGCGAGTGGGGTTTTTCATCTGCTATTGATTTGAACGTCATCCTGAACGTCCCCATGGCGAGGTTGAATCATCTCGAATCTCTCTCCGTCTCAAAAAGATCGGGAAATGGCTTGGCCGGAATGTCGCTTACAAGGTTCGCGAGTTTGATGCATCTTCGAAAGCCTGTCCTGTCAGTACAATCGTGAAGGCTTTCCCCTGCTCGGCTAATAAGTCAAGTTACTCTTTCGATATCGGACTCGACTTCAAGCTGCCTAGCATCATAATGGACTACGCACCTCGAGGGAAGTCGACCTTAGTTGTAAGATTGGCCAATTGCCCTTTCTCTTTTTTTTCGCCATATAATCTAGAAACGTCGTAGCCTTTGACATACAATGTGTTTCTGCATGAGAACCCGCTCCGACGGAGCCGAATTTTTTCTCAATCGCACTCACGGCATAGACATCCATGCCCGTGCTGAGATCTACATTTTTTTCAGTTTGTGTCCACGCGAAACGCAGCTGTGCAATGTGCGAAGCGTCTGGTAAAATCCCAATGCTGGTTCACGTCGAGGACCCTCGAAAACGAGTTGTCTGAAGTCCAAACTAAACTCTCCGACAGCAAGCTGATCGGTGAGGAATTACTAAGCCGTCACCGGGAATCGCTCCAAACGATGTTCTACACATGAGGAGTCGATCTTAGTGAATGCTTACTCTCAGATGTTGTGCAACGCGGTGTCGCATTCCACCACGCGGGACTGAACTTGAAAGACCGCCTCCTCGTAGAGGAATCCTTCGTGAAAGGCCTCATCGGAGTACTTATAACTACCAGCACCCTTGCGACAGGTCTCAATCTCCCCGCTTATTTGGTCGTCGTACGCGGAACCACAATGTACAATGGCGGTACGGTTTCGGAGTATCCTTCTTCGAAAGTGCTCCAGATGATTGGCAGAGCGGGGCGCATTCAGGTGACGTGTGGGATTCATTGGTAATCATATTGTATTCGATGCATCCTGCGAGCCAATCAGCGAACGAAGCCGCGGCGGATACTTCAGGCGATCGTTCCCACACCCCCACCACGCGGCTTCCGATTCCCCTCGCTCCCCATGCAATAGAAGGAATCATGGTCAGATTACACCTGCGCGATGGATCTCAAATCGTGTGCGTTCCAACTTTTCAGTTCGAGAACTCGGGTCAAGCTGTGATACTCACGCAGCAACAGCATCTGGTGAGTCTGAGAGGAATCCCCCACCGATGTCGGTGCAAAACTCTGGACGTTTTGTCAAAATCTGAGCATCCATTTGTACAATGGAGTTGGGCCTACCCCCTTCGAACAGCCCATCCGCCTCAGAGAAAGCGAGGGAAGGACGAAGGAGCCGCAACAAGTTGAAATTATAGGTTTAAGCGCTCCGAAAGTCGTGATCGATGTTTCCCACCGGGCAACGATGCCTACCGAGCTGTATTCCAAACTTTAAATGGTGGACAACTTTCCTCGAAGGCCAAGCCTCGCTTAATGTAGAGGCGAAGGGGACGAGCGACCACTATGAGATTTGAGGCCGAGGATGATATGCCGCCTCGTGCACGGTTTCAGCTCTGGTAGGAAATGTGAAGGGGGAATGCGCTTCTACGGAGAGATGTCCGGCAAGAAACACTGCCTCTCATAATCGCTCCCGGAATCCGGACCGAGTAGCCAGCGGAGACAGGAGGTACACAAACAGGAATGAGCCAAGGCTTCGAGATTTTCCCAGACAATTTCCCCGGGCATGGAGCCAAGACTGTTCGGCAGTCTCGAGGAACAGTGATTGATGTCTCTGCAAGATGTATCGGCGATGAGCGTTCGACTCAGCGTATTCTGAGATGCCCCCTTTAACGAGCGTCCGGGAGGAAGCCGCAAGGGTCCGAATGACTGGTATTTTAAAAACGTCTGGAGCACAAGCTGCTGGCTTTTCCGACATCCTAGGTCAATGAGAGGAAGTCCATCCTTTCCAGGCCCGCTACGAAGCGCTCCTAGCTGGCAAGTTAGAGAACGTCGAGAGTTACCTGCATCTCGACCTCTTCAGGCATCTGAATGCGGAGATAGCTTTGGGGAACGTGAAAAACCGCCATGAATGCGTGGACTGGTTGGAGAGCACCTTTTTCTTCGTTCGGGCAGAAGCTCGTTCGCGAAGGGCTGGCAAGATGGCCGAGTTCAGAGCGTTTGTTGAAGGTGCGTCGTCATGCCGAATTCGCGATGCTCGATACAGCGGGGCTCCTCGCGACACTGATACAGATCTTTTCAACAGAGCAGATCGACGGAGCGCTCAAAGTTCTGCAGTCTCATGGAATCATAGCTATTGGGGAACAATCAGTTTGTCGAACAGGCAAGTCTAGCGGAGGTCATTGTATGTATAAGATTTTCCCGCCCGTATCAACCATGCAGGGACGGGCAGTGACAGCGGAATCTCGCGCGGCCGCAGTGATCGTGTGCGTCATGCGAAATTCGAGAACAAGGGGAGCTTTTATCAGGAGCTCGACTAACGAATGTTGTGTTTCCAGCGCTCGGCTGCGCGTTCAGCCGATCGTACATGAGTTTCGACGGTTTTTCGAATCTTATCTCTGCCCTGCGCGGAACTGCCCCGGTCAGCGAGTTCTCTCCGAAGGCTTTCTTGTGGCAGCTTTCGACGCTTCCCGATCTCGGAAACTCGCAAATACGCGTAGGGGAGAAAAGCATTCTGCGGAAGCTCAATTCGAAGCTCTCATGTAAAGTTACCGAGAAACCGCCAGAGTGGAGAGCCTCCCACAAGGCGTTCATAATGCTGCTATCAAAACTCGAGAGCATCGAGATACCGGTAAGCGATTTTCTAAATCCTGGATCTGATGTGAGAGGTGCGCACGCATCCGATCGGGGCTCGTCTTCTCTTTGACCTTACACGACGGGAATTCTCTCGCATTCCGAAGGATTCCGCCAGCCTCCGCTTAGAACGGATTTCGATGATGAAAGTGGTGAAACGCGCTTCTCGCTGCTTGTACGAGAGCATCCTGATCCTCTGGCAGCAACCGGATCTTTGCGAAACCATCGGGATTCACCTGACGTTCACGATGGCGTTCAGCATCAGTCTTCTCGCAAAATCGTGTCGCTGTGAAACGTGGTGAGGAATAATCACTCGTATCTCACCGTGCGGGCCGCTCAGGACGCGTTTTATAGTTCGCCTCATGCCCTTGCAGGTACGACTCGCAGTTTTGTGCGCTACAGCTGGACGAGATCGGACCGACGCGCGCCGCCCGACTGGTGGAGGGGGGCTTCACGAGTTTCGATTCGATTGCGAACGCAGAGGCAAGAATGCTGGAAATAGTCACGCAAACTAATCCGCCCTTCGGGTCGCGTTTGCAGCAACAGGTCGCGAGCAAAGTGCCTCGGTCAGTGAGGTTGCAAGATCATTTCGATTCACCCGACCAAAGTATTATACGAGATTCCGCTATGTTACCTCCGGAAGGAATAGACTCCCCGGGAGATACTGTGTACGCCCCTGCTCTATCCCCCTAGTTACCTTCTCCACTGGGACTCCTCGGACGGTGTGCCTGTGATCACGGCTGAATTGAGGAATCGAGACACCCTGCGACAACGATCGTCGGCTCTCATGCTCGTCGGTGACGACTCTGATTCAGTGCTGATCCTGACCAGATTATCTCACGAGGAACTCCATCGCAAGAATACATTCGAGCTTCCGGTGGGTGAAATCGGAGAACTCAAATCTGTAGACCTACCCTTCTCCAGTCAAACCTTGCTTTTTATAACATCCGTTTTCGCCGATCGAAGGTCAATGCCAGCTGGACGAGACTCCACATCTGTTTGATCGATGAGAATATCGTCGGTGTTGATAAGGAAGGATTCATGGAAAAACCTACGATGGACATTCACTCGACTCCGGATACTTGTGGAGACTCATCCCGTACAGCCGGGACTCCCTGGAAAGCAGGTGACTCTCTGATCCGGGGATCTATGGTTCGTCTCGCACATTCCTGCCATTTATAGTTCATCTGCATGCTCGATCCTCTTTAGCCGTCGGCGTCGAGTCGAATCCTCAGCTCTCCGCCATAGATTGATAATTAGGAAATTTTCAGAAAATCTGCGGAAAAGACGGAACATGCAACACATGGTTGGCGAAGGTGTTGGAATCCCGAAATCAAGAAGAGCTGAGCGATGATCCATTGCTCGTCCCAACCGCTCGGGCTGAAAAGATAGTCCAAGAATACGATTTGAGCAGATCTCAATATAGACCGAGGAGGAATCTACCGAGAGATGCTACTCCTTCGTCGAATATAGGAGACACAACACCAGACAGCTTGGAGGAAATTCTTGAACAGCTCCAAGGAGAGGAAAGTCAGAACGATGGTCAGTTCCGCTCCGACAATATCGCTCCTAAAGAAAAGGCATACACTGTGAAACGAAATCGCCGAGTTTGACCGAGCTTTCTGCTGCGGGAGATTTTTCCAAGAGAGCCCGAGCGAATGTCGTCGAACGCGAATACTCTCTCGCGACACAGAATGTCCGTTGAGATTATGATAGCTCTCGGTAACGCCGTGACACGATTCCGATCGACACGTCATCGTGATATAATCATCGAATCCTCAAATTTGCCCATTTTTCCGAAGGATCCCTCGTGAGCAGTTCACGATTCGGTCGTCTTATTCTGCTGAGCATCCCGCAGGCTCGCCAGATCCCCATAGCTCGCCACTATCCTTCGGATATGTCTCTCATCGAGGGAGGCGTCCGTTCGCAATATTCGGAGAGCACTTGATTTCCAGTCGAAAATTCCGCGTCCGAATATCTATTGTTCGTGAACTCATTGGAGTTACATTTTTCACGCATCGTTCGCTCCATAGCGCGGAAGCCTCGAGCCGCCGATTTGAGCGACTTTCTGCAGGATCACTCACAAAACTCAGATTCCCTCTTGGGCTATCCGAGATCAAATTTACGTAGGACGGGGTCCATTCATCTCCCAGCTCATGTTCTATGACACTCCTCCGTAGATTCGGGCCTCAACGAGGGGCAGAGATCAGGAATCGAGGTCACTATCCCCTCACTCGACGATCGACAGAATGCCGCGTCGGCGACCGCCTCGAAGAAGACCAGAGTCAGCCGGACAACTCGGATCACAAAGAAAAAAACACCCGCAAACTACTGCCGAAAAGACCCGCGACGGCGATGTGGTTCGGTCCCGGAGAATTCGACGGGGGCCGTGTCGACTTCACCTGGAGAACCCCCACTGCTCAGGACTCAAGCCGAATCCGAAAACGTGGGCCTTGATCAGAAGAGCGGGTTAGCAACGTTATTGTCCTTTATAGCTATAGGTCAGAAAAACATGAGACCATGAGAATGGATGCCGATTCTCTAAATCACACTCTGTTTTATAGGGCGGAAAATCCGACTGACTCTTGCACACACAGCAGCGCAGAACGAGAGCGTCGCATCCGTAAACCGTCTACGCAGCCACAATATGTTGATGCGAAGGAGCCGGACGATTCTGACTGGGAAGTCTATCTAAGTCATACGGATGCCTTGCTGAAGCGCATGCTGTCACAATGAATGCGATTCCAAGCCGGGGACCACTCGCAACGTCCTTCTCCGGCGTCATGGATATTCGTTGTCACAGGACTTTCGAGCCTATCTGAGATAGGACCAGCATCGAGACGAAGAAGGAATAGTTATGAGATAAGGTCGATACATTACCGGGCCGATCCACGCTACTATCAATTGTAATTAATAGACAAGCCTTCCTCGCATAGATCGCCATCTACACCCCGCTATTCCCATCGGCTTTATCGGCATTTGGCGATGGCTAATTGAGCGAGCGACCGGCTCGGTCATCTCCAGCAAAAGGCTGAGACACGGCTATATTGAGCTGCGGTGTCGATCCCTCCCCTCCGGGGACTCGTCTCTCCCTCCTCGATTATTCTCTCAACCCTCTGTCTGCACTTGCGAAGATTTGTTCCGCCTACCGAACTGCAAAAGTTTCTCCACAGTATCAGCGAGCGCAATCAAACGGAGACCCTTCCTATCCCGATTAGCATTGTAGGAGCCTACTTTATTCTACTTTTCGGAATCGCGTGTTCGCGGTATCAGCGAGAGCTTGGTTTAGAATTTTATTTCCGCATCTCGTGATCATATAAGCCATTGAATGAAGAGGAATGGTTTCCGAAAAACACGGTCTTCAGAATTTTTTTTGTACAACCGAGTAAGTGAGTTTATTTCGATCCATACGATTCTTTACATTTTCGCCGACCTGCGCTCCTCCCCTTCTGATGTATCACCCACCCTTTCGTTCCCTCAATCGACTGAACCATACACTAACTTATGTTCGCGACGCGCTTGCTTCGGTTAGGATTAACTACTTTTTACAGCAGAAACAGGTCGTATCACTTGCTGGAATTGTAAGAAACATCAACGCTCACTAGAGTTCTGAGTGGAACACGGCATCCTTCCGATCGGATTCAGCGCGTTCCTTGTGTGTTTTCTCGCCCGGTGTTGTTGGCTTGGCACGTCGCAACTCGAACGTATCGATGAGGCTTTTCAGCTCCTCGTCGTATGACGTCCACTCGGGTACGATGCGAGCGGCTGCTACCAGTTTCGGCTCCTTGGTTTTAGGGTTGTTGCACTGAAAGCGTTCGTTCCAGTGAAGCGAATCCCCGCAATCTCCGTCGAACCCCCATCGCTTGTACTTCCCGTCCCGAGAATGCTTACCAGGTCGATAGTTTTTGCCTGCGGCTTCGAAGCGTCGTCGCACCACGTCTCGCACCACAACCATTCCTGTGGGAGGGATTTGATGGCGACCTGGTGTATCATATTGTTTGGTAGGTCCTGATCCAGGTTCGACAGCGAATTCGGATCTTGACTGAGGCCCTGGTACTGGCCACGGAGACGATCGCCAGCCGCTATTCTTCGGAATTTTTTCAGATCGACTACGTACAACGCGCTGCAAAATTCATGAAGTGATCATTATCTGTGGCCCCTTGCACAGAGGACTCCCTCGGAGCTTTGTTGATGAGCGATTAGCGCCCATGAGTGGCCCACCGGAGATATTGTGTCTCACCTGATGTGATATCTACGCGACCCAAGGTGTTGCGACCAATATCCTCTTTTCCAGAAACGGAAACCATCCATGTCTTCCCGACTCTCGCAGAAAGGAGTGTATCCATACGGTGCTCCACCCAAGTCCAGATCTCTCAATTCTTTCAAATCAGCACGGACCTGTACAGAACGATTTGTTAGGATAATTATTTGCCGATCTCGCCGGGGAAGCCCCGTAAGCGCGAAATCGTGTCCAATCCATCACGACAGTGATGTAACTGTCACCGAACTTACGATCTGATCAGCGTCGACGAATATGATTTTCTTCACGCTCAGCGGGAATAGTACATCGAGGAAAAGGATTTTGTAACCCCAGATGATCCTAGGGCAAATCAACAGGGATAAGCCGTTGCTCAGCGATCTCAAACTCCCAATCGGTATGTACATATGCCTATGCTTCCCAGCTGCTGTCGTCGATGAATGGGAGAATTCCCGATCAACACTCGATATCATACGAACCTTTGTTTCTCCGTTTGCTGATTGAGCCATCTCGGCCATTTGTATTCAACCAGCTGGTACTCGAAGCCATATTTTTCCGCGTAAAACGGCAGAATATCTTTCATAGAAGGCGAGAGGTAATTCTTCAAGAACCAGAACTTCACTTTCGTGTTTGTGTTCTTCAGAACGGATAACATCATAATCCTGAGTAAACGCTCGTAGAGATGACCCGTCGCGACGGAGAATACATTGATGACATCTTCCTCTTCGTTCTCCTTGTCTCCCTTCGACCGGCCCCCTAAAGAGCTGGAAATACAAGCGAGAGCCACATGCATCTTCAGTTAAACAGCTATGATCGACGTCGAGCCGGATTTCGGCAAGCGATATGAGATTTGGTAACCGGAAGACCAGTTTGAGGCAGTTACACACTCGTGGGGGAGAATAACGACCCACTTCACTGCTCATCGGGAAACTAGTCGAGACTGGACGCGGAAAGATAAGAATGCGAAAAGAACTAAAACACGCGTGAGTCAAATATCGCTGTGTCCATGTACGATACCTCCACTCGGTGAACACCCGCCAATTATGAATCCACTCTTCAATGATCCCTCCGAGAATCGGTATGCTATGAAAATTTCAGAATGGATACTAATTTCACTCGCTTCAAAATCAGAGTCCGACCCGCGATCGTCAGAAACAAGTGCGGTCCATTCCCCCGCCCGCGGGCGGAAGGAAAAAAGAACGCCGCTTTAGAATCTGGGGATCGACTCCATAGGGAATCGTATTGTTATGTGCGCCCAGCGGTTCTCGGACCCTGCGCTTGGTTGCGCCATATGGCTGCATATTGGTGTGTAGCCCCTGAACCAGCGCGCGGATGACCAACTCGTCTGGGACTGATTGGCGATAAATGGACGAGCTTACCTGGTGATAGAGTTCCATATGCCGTCTTCGTCCCCGTCGTCCTCAACCAGAAGTTCTTCGTTCGCCTTTCCGGACTTTTTCTGCACCCTGACTTTGAGGACCTGGGTTCCAAATGATATTCATTAATTGAGCTTTCATGTCCCTTGTTCGGTCCAGCTACATGGAGACATCCTAGATAGAACATTCATCAAGTGATCCTAAGGCATCACCTTCGAGCGGAAGTTGGTGACCAGAACAGCGACCTCTTCACCGCATTTCTCGGTGTTTTCTGTGCTTGTGACATCATAAAGTTCGCTGCTCCGACCATCTCGGATCCTCAGGAACCAGATACCTGGATTTGCTTTCAATTGGAAGTAGCCCTAGGAGGGAAGAGAGAGATTTTTTTTGGGTGTCTTCACGCTCATATTCCCTCCTCCGAGTTCGAACTGGGAACTTCAGTTCCGGGGCTCTCACCAGATTAGCCATGACGATAGTGTCGTACATGACCGGGTCGGCAGGGGATCCCAGCGTGAACTCCAATCCTCTGGGAGGGGATCCGCTGTACGCATCGAAGCAGTGGCCTTCGACGAGGAGATGTTCCAGCTCGAACTCCGCGTTGACTCTAGTCTCCACGTCAGCCATGCGTATATTGTCCAAGTCATACAGCGATCTGTTTTTTTTTCAAGAAGAGGGGCTAGGTTTATCCCGATCCCGAGTGCTCCACAGATTCATACAAAAAGCGTGGGATGAGGCAACGTCCTGTCTAAAGTCACCTAGTTGCTCCAATGAGCCAGTTTTCCGGAGTCGCCATCGCTAAGGTGAGCACTGGTTTCGAAGGAAGGCCCGTAAACACGGCACGTGGTGCTGATAACTCCCCCGATGGTCCGAACTGAGGTTCGGCGTGAGCAACGAACCTGTAAGCGATCCTGATTGAATCTCCCGCAGCGATAACCGTATCGATCAATCGAAGGCTAAACACTCGTGAGAGGCTATGCGGCGAGACCAGGACTCTCGATCGGAAAATCACCTGTAGTAAGTCTTCAGCGGCAATTCTTTCTGTCCTTGAGCAGAGTTGAAGAACACCTTTACGTTCGCATTCATGACTCGTTGCAATAGAATCAGAACTTGCGAGAGTTTCTGCGCGCCCCTTGAAGCCGGATCAACGATAGCCGTGATCTCGTGAGCCGCTTGCTGAGGAAGCTAGGTACGAGAACCACGATCATAATTATGTATGTAGTTGTACAATTGCTGTGTGTATGTAATTATTATTATATTAATAAATTCAATGAAGGATCGAGACGGAGTACCCAGCCTGACCGAGTGGACGGGCTTTCAAAGAGGAACAGATGCCAACCTTCGCCGGGGTATCGATGACAGCGTGTTTGTCCGTCGCGTACTTTATGTCGTGACGAACTTTATTCTGGGCGTACTTCTGTAGCACCGAACTGGCTCTCATGGCAGAGTCGCTATTCTTCACGAGATCCCTCAATTTGCTTCCGTACAAGCTCATGCTGTACTTCTCCAAGAGGTTAAAATCTCCCGCGGTGAAAGCCTCGTCTTCCCCTAGTGGACCGAGTAGTTTCCCGTTGATTATCACAGCTCTCGATTCCGGAGCAAGTCGTAGGGTTGTTGCGAACGCTGCGTGCAACTGGACTGTTTTACGCACGGCTTCTTCTCCGAGTAAGTTGAGCTTGTCTGCGGATAAATATTGTTGATGGACGCAGAGTCGGAAGGCGCACTCGCGCGGAAATCCGGATAATGCCGGACTCACTGTAGAGCATCTATTGAAATAATCATCATTGTCAATCGTCAGGCTAGATGGATTGTGCAGCACCCACCATTTTTGACCAGCTGCTCTGCTCTCAGCGAGCCGCTTTCGATTTCCTTCCAGTTCCTGAAGAGTTTGGTTAGAAATGATGTCGCTTCAGTCGGGCGGAGGGAATCCAGCGCAGATTCAACGAGCCTCGTGAGTTTACCTGAATTAAGGCTGAGCTTCATCAACATGCTACAGATTGGCCCAGGACGGCGAGCTGTGACCACTTTCGTCATGAATTTCAGTGTATACTCACCGACTTTGTGATCTTTGTTGTGGTATATGAAGGCAAAACGAGCGTCATGACTATTCTCCAAGTGCTCCAAGGCTTGTCCGAAAATCTCTCTTCCCCTTTCAGACTCCAAATCGGCAACCACCCACACGGACAGGGGGGAAAGTTTCGCCTGCCCAACATACTTCAGTTTGGCCGCGAAGCTCGCTCCCATGTCCGCAGATGAGAGCTCGGCGAGCTTCAATGGATACCTCATTAGAGTAGCCCTCGCATCTTTTTTGCTGCGTTTCTTGCTCTGAATAATCTCGTTCCCTCGCAGGATGATATACTTCAGTATGCTATGCAGATGAAAATGCTCACCGAGCTAGCATCGATGTCAGTCTCCCTTCCCACTAGACTCACGAAAGTGGTGAGATCCTTATCCGGCGCATTTAGGATTCTTTCATTGAGTCTCGGCATGACATTTTCCCGAGCTACGTTAGACGAAAGAGTTAGCGAGTTGGCAGGAATCTGACATCGAGGAGCTTATTTGAACGCATAAATAGCGGAAGGTAAATACGCCTTCTCGAGTAGGCTTTTGCTTACTCATGAGAAAATCGATGACATTGTCGTCCTCAACCAATTCACCCTTGTAGATAGCTTTCTGGATCTTCGGTGTTTGCTTCATCACTTCCGTCAACACGGCTTCCTCGAATACCTCACCTGGTATCGAGACGAATCGGGAGTTTACTTTCTCGCTCCAAACTGGTCGTGGTCATTTGATACCCATATGGGTTCGACCCGAGCCTAAGCGATCGTACCCACCCTTCAGATTTTCACGCTTCAGGAGAACTCCGTTGAGCATTGCTGACGGAGAGTCGCCACCGATGCCCGTTCGATTGATGAAATCCCATGCAAGCTGCGCCAAATTTCAGTCAGTCGGGTCACCCATTGATCTTCGCGTCGATCGTTCGCAACATCTCGACTGCTCTCTACTCGGATAAAGATTGCGATTGCTTACCAGGCGCCCTGTGTCGTATTCACTTTCCGAGCCAAAAACCGAATCCAGCTCGGTATCCGGATACTTGCTCCGGAAAAGCTTGCATACACTCTCCGCTTCTATGTATCCATCCGCTTGACTGGCGTATACCTGAGGGCGGGAGAAGGCGCTAGTTCATCGGCGATCGCTGTTACAGAGTCGTGACGATACTCTCCGGAGCGCCGATGCTTTATAGGAGGCAGGATGCTTACTTCAGTGATGAAAGCCAATCCATCGATCGGCTTTTTGTTCTGTGCGATATAGTTGTAGGCGTTGAGCATGGCAACACCACCATCATTCAAGCCATTGACTTGCAAGTCTTGATTCACGGCGAACACGAAACCGATCCTGACCGGCGCCCTGTCGGACCACGAGGAGAACAGGTCCAGCTCAAATTAGACGATCGCCCGCAGATTCCGCCGAGATGTCGGATAGGTGGATTATTGCCGGATGAAGATATGATGTACTCACCGGTGCGTAAAGAAGCTTTCAGCGAATTTGAACATATCTTGAGCCTCTGGGGAAGCCGGATCCCCAACGATCGTGAGATGGTACATATTCCTCCTCACGGACCTACCGAAAAATTCGTAAGTTTACCGAGCTACAAGATAAAGACTCGAATACACTGAGTCGACAAGCCATCATCCTTTACCTGAGCATGCCAGGATAAGTCGGTCTCAGCATGTCCTTCAGACTTTTGGGCCAAGTCCTGTATTCCGGATCCGATTCGATATCATTCACGTATTGCACAGCTGAATCACGGATATCGACGGCATATATCGAGTTCCTGAAGAGAGGGTTATCATGGAAATTATTTTTATGGAAACCGTTGCACGGCTGGACTCAGCAATTCCATTCGCCGTACTCCCGGAGCTGACTTCGCTCAGATAGCCATATCATGCTCCACGGAGCCATTCTCAGCTGACTCGGACTCCACTCAAGCCTCGGGGCTGATGTGAGGGTGAGCGAGAAATTTTGGAAAGTTGAGAGCTTCTCGACCGATATAGGCTTTCCATTTGCTCACTGTAGGATATCCAGAAGAGGATCAGGTTTTAGGCACTCACTTCGAATTGAGATCCAACTTCATCATCTTCTGGATTGTTTCCGCGGAGAAGCCAGCATCGTGCAAACCTTCGAGTAACTTTGTTTCCTGCTTCACTGAGTCGAGGAGCACGAACAGATCGCTCACCTGCGGCGAATAAGATCAATGCTGTCTCAGCATCGATGTGTATGTTTGAATGCTGTATGCTCGCTGCGAGAAGACAATCACTCACCTCGAGATCGAAGTACAGTCCATTGATGAACAGTGCAGTATCGGTAGGCTCTAGATTCAGGTATCCTTGGAAATATCGTTTATTTCTCTCCATCGCGGAGCTTAGATCATCTTCGACCTTGATGCTCGATAGTGATCTACGGATTTCACGGAAATAGTTCATCAAGTCCGTATTGGCGGAGATCGCGTAAGAGGCCTGGAGCTATGTATTCTTACCTCGCAACGGAGGGAAAATTATGGCAAAGATCCCGGAACATTTTCAGTTGATGCCCCTTCGGAGCCTTGAGAATCCTCGCGGCGAGTTGGAGACTCAGATTTTCGACTTCATGCTCTTTGAGATTCGTGAGTTCAGGGTCCTGAAGCAGCAGTCGCAGTTTGATTGAGAAGCTTGCCTCAGTCGGCACCAGGAGTGATTCTAGACACCTCGTGAACGGAACTCACCATGATGTTCTCGATCTCGAAAGAATCTCCATCGACAGAGTCCGTATCCTCGTCCGAGGTCGAAGTTTCTCTTTCTTTGATACTCGCGTCATCCTGGGACTTGTATTCCATCGATTTTAGCGCGAGTTCGACTCCATATCCACCGAGTCGTACTTTTCGATTTAACGATTTCTGGGAATTCAGTTGCGACATTAGAGACGTGAGTAGAAGAAGGATCCAGGATCGTGTTGATATCTCTATTTAGTCGACTTACAGAGACGTGGTGTCGCAAGATGTACCGGATTTTACCCTGAGTGAGTCTTTTGACTAGAGCATTATGGTACCTGAAATAAAAGTTGGTGTTTCTTCTGGCCATTCACTACTCTCGTATGGTGCACTCAGACTGGAAGCTCCACTCCGTCAGCTGCAACGGCGCCGTTAGCCGCCGAGAATTTACCGGTGGAAATCAGGATGGGCGATGTCAGCGTACAGAACGACAATCACTCCATCAGTTGAAGCTCCGAATTCATGATCGATACCATATACGTCAATTAATCCAGAGCCCCTGCAAGATACAGCTGGTCAGAAGGTGCAATCTTACGGCCTCCCTCCCCCCGAAAATCGAAGCCAGATCGACTGTCATTGCAGACCTCTCCTCGATGAACGAATCGATCTCTTCGAGTATGCATGTTACATGTCCCGGAAGCTCGAAAACAAATTCGCAGTCGGGCAGCTCCTTATCTTGGGCAATCTGGAATTAATCGTGACGGAATTATGAGGATGCTCGATCATCATCGAAACGAGAAGAATCTCATCTATATTCAAGAGTATTCACCCGCTGGAAGGCCTCCACAGCTGGCGAGTGCGCCCTCAACGCCAGAGAGAGTTTGAAGAGTGCGAAACGGCCCTCGCTCAGTTGCCTGGAGGCCAGTTCAATGATGTTCTCATACTGAACTTTTTCACTCGCTGAAAAAAGCACTGATCGTTGAGAAAAGCGTCCCAGGTATGGCATTCGTGATCACCGGATGGGAGGTATGGAGAGCACGAGCAAAAAATATTCATTCATAGGAGAGCGATGTCGCCGAAACCTGTCGTGAAGTTTTTGAGGTCCAGCTTTTGGAAATCCGTGACGTATCTCCAGAATGTGTCCGCGCCCTCTTCGGCGAAGAATTCAGCAGCTTCCAAATGCAGCGGAGTATGGTTCCAGCGGGCGTCGAGAGATATTGTGAGAGGCTTCTGGATCTAATAGTGAGAAGAAACTTTCCACATGAGCACCTCATCAGCTGATCTGCCCTCAGGTTCGTGGAGCCAGATGCGGGAGCGGTGTGGGACTCATTGATCTGAATCAAAGGGGTACAGCCGGACGGGGCCGTGGCTCCGGATAGTCTTACCTTTGAATCGACGAAGCTAGCCACCAAGATTAAAATACAGCAATGATCGAGACGGAATGATTTGACGCTCCGGACCATTTTCGCTTCGAGGGGGGAACACCTTTATTCTTGCATATCTTTGGTCGTATTGAGCCGCAGATCAGAACTGATATCCGATACGTCGACTCGGAGCTCGACGGCTTCACTTGGCGGCCCCTTCTCCTTGGAAGAAAGGATACGTCGGCCTGTTTTCGGCCCGATATGCGTCAACTCACAGCCGGCACTTGGCCAATCAGCGGCTGCCACAGGGTTTCTGCCGGCTGAACTCCACACAGTCACTGTTTACAAACACAGCGTGTCCGGTGTCGTGTGTGAGAAAAGAGGAGGAACCTACAGAGGTCCCTCGGCGGCGCGTCAATTTCGAACATATTGGGACTTTGCGCTGATTCATTCGCTCTCCAATTCCGAACCATCGATGAAGATATCGCACGAACTCCGCGAGGAACTCTGCGCCCTTCCCGCGTCGGCGATTCATATCCTCCTTGCGGATCCAGTTTACTCTGCTGCCGGCATCCCTGTAAAATCGCGTAGGCGGCCGAAGAATTCTGCATCGTAGGAGCGATCTCTCACAAGAAGATCTCCGAAACTCGATCCTTCAGATTCGACAGTAGAGTGTTCTCGGTCATGAGTTACGCGAGTCTGGCGCGGCATTTCCGGGAATATTTACGGCTCTTTCTAGACTTCATAGACTCTCTATAGAACCCGGAAAGGCCAGGAAATACTGCGAGCATCCACTAACTTCGGCGCGACCGCGCCGTATCCCTGAGTTTTCGTGCGTATTGCTCGCGCGGCGGACCCGGTCGGGGAGCCGACTCCGGAGCTTATCTATATATATAAAAACGTATGTCTGTTTGTCTGTTTGTCTGTTTGTCTGTCTGTTTGTCTGTCTGTTTGTCTGTCTGTTTGTCTGTCTGTTTGTCTGTCTGGTGTCACCTATAGACTCGAAAACGGCTGAACCGATCGTCGTGAAAATTTAGGAGCGTGTTCTGGGCGATCCAGCGGTGGTTATAGGGGGGTCAGTTCTCCGATGCGATGAGTCCTTCTACCTTAAAAAAATTATTTGAGTGCTCCACCCACGAAAATACGAAAACTCGGAAAAAAAATGAAAAATCCAAAATTCGCAAAATTCACGAACGCCTGAACCGATCGCCGCAAAAACTCAGGGGTGGCTCTCGGGAGTTGTAGAAAAGCGATGAGGGGGTCGTCGTGCCCGTATGATGAGGATGAGCTCTTTTTCCCTTGGAAATTGAGTACCGGGTCCCCCACCGGAAATCGTTCGGCGGGAGTTTCCAGAGTTCTCCAGAATTTTCGTGATTCCTTCACATAATCTATAAATCTGTCTGTATGTCCCCTATAGACTCGAAAACAGCTGAACCGATCGTCGTAAAAATTTAGGAGCGTGTTCTGGGGGATCCAGCGGTGATTATAGGGGGGTCAGTTCCCCGATGCGATGAGTCCTTCTACCATAAAAAATTATTTGAGTGGTCCTCTTGCCGAGAATCAAAGATTTTATCAAGGGAAAGACGGGAATTCTCAGGATTTCTTATCGGCTGGACCGATCGCCATGAGAAGGTGGATTCTCGGGAGCTCCCAAGAAGACTATCGGGGGTTGCCGTCATCAATGGCCTCTGTCTTTTTACTAATGAATCTCGCTGAAAATCGCTGTAGCCGTGAAGGGTATCGATTTTCCGGAGGACATATCTAATAAAAGCAGGGGCACGGGGAGGCGGGGAAACGGGAAAGTGGGAAAACGGGAAAGTGGGGAACCGGGATAGTGGGGAACCGGGAGAGTGGGGAACCGGGAAAGTGGGAAAACGGGAAAGTGGGAAAACGGGAAAGTGGGAAAACGGGAAAGTTGGAAAACGGGAAAGTGGGAAAACGGGAAAGTGGGAAAGTGGGAAAACGGGAAAGTGGGAAAACGGGAAAGTGGGAAAACGGGAAAGTGGGAAAACGGGAAAGTGGGAAAACGGGAAAGTGGGAAAAGGGAAAGTGGGAAAAGGGAAAGTGGGGAAGCGGGGAAAGCGGGGAAACGGGAAAGCGGGGAAACGGGAAAGCGGGAAACGGGAAAGTAGGTGAAACGGGAAAGCGGGGACACGGGAAAGTGGAGAGACGGGAAGTAGGGAAGCGGCGAAGTGGGGAAACGGGGGAGTGGGGAAACGGGGGAGTGGGGAGCAGGGAGGCGCACCCAGAGCACGCGCGATCAAAGCGAGCGCACCCGGAGCCAGCGCATACGGAGCCAGCGCATCCGGAGCCAGCGCACTCGGAGCCAGCGCACTCGGCGTTAGCGCACTCGGAGCCAGCGCACTCGGAGCTAGCGCATGTGTAGTGAGTCTAGCGATACCGAGTCGCCGCGAAGCGGCGACCGGGAGCGCTAGTAATCTATATATCTGTCTGTATGTCCCCTAAAGACTTGAAAACAGCTGGACCGATCGTCGTAAAAATTTAGGAGCGTGTTCCGGGGGATCCAGCGGTGCTTATAGGGGGATCAGCTCTCCGATGCGATGAGTCCTTCTACCTCAAGAAAATTACTTGAGTGCTCCACTGACGAAAACACGGGAACTCGGAAACCTTGGAGGGTATGGAGTCTCCGGAGAACATATAGAGTAAAAGCGGGGGCACGGGAAAACAGGGAAACGGGAAAGCGGGAGCACGGAGAAGTGGGGAGACGGGAGAGGAGGGAAACGGGAAAGCGGGGAAACGGGAAACGGGAAAGCGGGGAAACGGGAAAGTGGTGAAACGGGAAAGCGGGGACACGGGAAAGTGGAGAGACGGGAAGTAGGGAAGCGGCGAAGTGGGGGAACGGGGAAGTGGGGAAACGGGGGAGTGGGGAGCAGGGAGGCGCACCCAGAGCACGCGCGATCAAAGCGAGCGCATCCGGAGCCAGCGCACTCGGAGCCAGCGCACTCGGCGTTAGCGCACTCGGAGCCAGCGCACTCGGCGTTAGCGCACTCGGAGCCAGCGCACTCGGAGCTAGCGCATGTGTAGTGAGTCTAGCGATACCGCTTCGCGGCGACTCGGGAGCGCTAGTTCGAAATATATCTCGTCGCTGTGGTCGATTCTCTCTCGGAGAGAAATTTCAGAGGTCATGATGCCTCAGAGAAGTCGCTCCCGCACCGAATCACCCTTGATGGCCCCCAGGATCACTTCCATGGATCTGTTCTCACCACGCGAGCAGATAAGAGAGTTCAGGAAATACCCCCACCCCGTCGCATGCGCACGGAGTGCGCTCAGTTCCATCGCTTTAGATTCGGCGACAGCAGGTACATATGCATGTGTAGTGCAACCCTTCACCAGTGAAATCTGCATTCCCCGAGGACCATGAGGAACACCGGTGGGGCGCGGCCGACAACAATTAATCGTCGTGGCGTCGGCGTCGTCTAGAGAGCAAATTGACGTATGTGATTGAAACGAGGGCGGAGGCTCTGTATACTGTAAGAACTCACGCGTCCGCCGAAGAGTGCGGCGATTTAGAAGGATGTCCAGATGGGTCGTATGGAAGGCCGTGCCGTGGGCGAGGAAATGTTCTCCCTCATTGAGGGGCTGTAAGATTTTTGATCCGAGTTATAAGGAGAACGGGAGCCCATAGTTCCACGAATCGGGAGAGCAGAGTTGAAGGTTCGTGGCAACAATTCCGAATTATAAAATCTTCGCAGTGCGTACCCGCAAGTCATACAAAGATCGAGGGAGCAGAGAACGGTGCTTCATTCCGTCCGCTATAAGCCTTGACGATGAAACCTGACTCTGATGAAGCGCCATAGATGCTCTCAACAATCAGACTTTCGAATTCCCATGGACCCCAGCCTGGAGCAGCTTCTTTCCTGGTCTCGACCGAGCCCCGATCCTCTCGAACGAGGGGAATGCTTGGGATAGAAGACTCGGGTGATCCAGATATCCCTCGAGAGGTCCTCTCCCGACAGATTCCTCGAGTCCTTGAATCGAGCTCCTGCTTCATATATCTAGGAAGACGGAGCGGTTCTCGAAACTTTCTCAGCGGGACATGCCTCCCCTCTCTTCACGCTATGAATGACGTGCTAGAAAGGGAACTGCTATGGAGCTCTGTGAATTTGAATCCGACAAGCGATCATCGTTCCGTTGGAGACGTCGCTCGCGACGTATGGGATGAGATCCTTGCCGCCTCCCCCCTTGACTCCTAATTATGTCGATATTCTATAAATTGATGGTTACCTTCCGGGAAAATATGAACATCGAATAAGGAATTGTAGTCAGGGACTCATTGAGATCGGAGGCTCCAACACTCATGGAGCCCGCAGTCGACGTCGCATCTATTCTCCTGGAACGAATCGAGTCCTCGGCGGAAGATTCGAGCCCCTCCGAACGATCATATGTATCGACAGATGCCGCGTAAATGGAAGACCCTTCTCACGGATCCCAATGTTTTTGCGGTTGAGCTCCTCGACCGACTCACGAAGCTCCGAGATGACACGATTCGCGGACCCAATTCTGCGATTAACAATCATCCTGCCTTATTACCCCAGGGCGGGAGGGTTGCTTATACGCGGGACTTTTGGACAAATCGAATTCGCACCGTCTCGGATCCTACCACCTGAGAACTAGTGGAGGCCCGCAACATTTGTGCTCATTTCCTGGGAACGGTCTCACCCTAGCTGTAAGCAGAGAAGGACCAATATATTATATGTATAAACACGAATGGGCTCACATACATTGTGGATTCATGTGTGGATGCGGAAAAGGAGGGGAGTAAAACTGCGTTCAATGAGTGAATTCTCATGCACTTATTACTTTGTGAATATAATCAGATCCGAGCCGTGATCCGCCACCCCCGCGCCGATTGAATCCATCAGCGCCTGCGATCTCTCTCAGTCTCTCTCTCGTTTCCTGAGGCTGTACGCAGCCCGGAAAAAATACCCCCGACTATGAATTCTGCCGGATGGCTGAATGAAGCAAGCTGATGATGGAGGAAGATACAGTATCGACGCTGGTGTGGGTCTAATGTGGAGCAGACCTCGCCCGCGCGAAGTGACCGAATTAACTGAAGCGAAGAGCTCCCTTTGATTCGATTGCTGAGAGCACCGGGTAGGAGGCCTCAACCTCAGACACTGGCGCTTCGAGGGAGTCCCGATAGGAGGAAAGGGAAAGTCATCAGCATCAGGGATTCAGATCGTAATCCAAATCTGACGCACATCACAGATCAGCTGCTGCGTGAAGGACGAGCTCAATGGTGTTCAGCTGTCGAACGATGGAATCAGCGACGGCGACGTATGTATGGTGGAACTTCGAGTGGATGGAAGGAAGCTCCCGGTCCCGACTCCTCTTTTGAGATCGGAAATCTGTCAGGAGGCTATCGAACAGACTCTGGCGAACTCCGAAGGGGCGGCCGACTGTTTTTTCCTCGGTGATACCAATATGTGCCGAGTGGATCGTGAATCTATGGTCGAGGAACTGGAAAGATTTCATCGCACTCAACAACACGTCGCCGACAAGAATAACCGGGACGAACAGTAGCCTTATCGACCACGTGATGTCCAGGCACATATTCAGCGCAGGCCTCTCCGGAAGCGCTTTCGATGCGCGGGATGTGTCTGACCATCAGCTCCTCAATTTCAGATTCAACCTTGATACCCACCGGAGTGATATCGGCAGGATGATATCGGAGTGCCCGTCAAGGGTGGTGGTCAGGGATCGCTTCGCATCCATGAAGGCCTGGCTCTCTTCCTTGACTAGTCTGATTAATGCGGAGAAGAGACAAACTGCATAGAAGCTTCGGACGGAAGAGGAGCCAATCAGCGAAAATCGAACGCGAACGCTTCAATACCACCTTTACCTTCGATCCCTCCTGGGAAGCCTGCGCTTACCAAAAGAGCCAAGTCAGACCTCTGCAGCAGAGAAGTTAAGGTGCAGAACAATGACGGTGAGAATCCACGAGGCATATCGTTCGGGGCGCAGAAGAATAACCTCCTATCTGGACCTATCACCTCCTATAAGTCCAGTTCCTATCTATGACTGAATTCACTCATATTATTCGTTCGCATGTGTTTCACCTGAGGCAGCATGGGAGCTAATTGCTGGGGGAGTTTTTTTCGGACACTCATCGATGGGGCACTGATTTCGGTCAGAATTCGATGAAGGTAGCGAAAGCTATAATCTGCGACTCTTTCTAACGAAGGGGTCGATCCATTGACAGATTCAACGCGCGATGAAACGAGATGCTGGCATTAATCGGCTACCGGTCAACAAGCTGCAGCCTTCCTCAGGCTTCCGGATCGATTTTCAGACAGACTTCAGGGAGGCTTCCTCTGGATTGAGGAATGAATCCGCCCTGAGTCGCGCGTGAATAGATAGTATGGCACAGAGACCAAATGAGGCACGACGCAAACAATTCTCATAAGCTCAGGGCGGAGGCCGTTCCCATTGCGCAAAGACTCCGCCGGAGAGTAGAGGAGCCGAACCAAGAACTCTGGGGCGCGGACGACGGATCAGCTGGAAGCCGGGCTCAATGGTTAATTGTTTATTGTGATCGACATTGACGTCCCAGTACTCCAGGATTCTTTTTGTCCTTCTTACTTCGGTTGCATTGTTTGCTTCTTCGTGGAGTCCGAGACGGTACAGGAGCTCTTCCCCCGTGTGGTAGATGTCGATGCATTCGAAGATGACGTGTTCCGTCGTCTCTTCGTGGATGCCACACCTGGGACAGGTTTTGTCGGTTCCGGGGTACATCTTGTGAGCTCTGGTTGGCAACATGTTGGCTCTCGCCAAAGCTAGGAGGGCGCTCCGCTTACTGTTATCGTGGGTGAAGCTACAAGTATTCGAGCAAGAACATCGCGAGCGTCAGTACTTTTAGAGGGATGAGGCTTCTTCGTAGGGTGCTTCATCTTCAACAAGTAGAGTGAGAGGGCGGTGGTCAGCTTGATAAATTACTCCCCGAAAGTCAGTGTGAGTTCGGATCTCCACGGCTTTATCGCGCCGATCGGTCAACAGTGTCGAGAAAGATATCAGCGGCATTGCACCGTCTCAGGTCAGCTAATCGCGAGCGTTGATAATTCTCCCGAGACTAGACCCGATTATCCCGAAAACATTCGGCCCCACTCCTCTCCAAGCTAAACATATGTTCTCTCCTTGGCAATGGGGGAGGGATGCTATCTAAATGAAGAGACACATACAGCGTGTTTTCGGTGGGGAGCCTCCTTCGATCCGATCCGAAATGAGTCATCGCTCCTAATCTGGCCTCGACTTCTGTTTTGATGGCCGGCCTGACGGGGACTCCAGCGGAGCGTGAGCCGCAATTATACAGAATGTGACACCCAGGCACTTAAGTCTACCGATGTTCGTGGTTATCGTTCTCGCCGATACTTTCAATCATCATGGTTTATTGGATCTAACTAGAGTATTACATAGTCAACCTATGGAAAAGGCGCGATAAATCTCAGCGGATCAAATCAGTTCCTCGCTCCCATATCTCGAGGGAGCGCTTCATGGCGTCAGCCAATGCGGGATTAGTCTCGTTTCTTAGGCCGAGGCGAGAAGACAGGTCCTCATCGGTACCTGTGAACAGGGACGCCTATCCGCGGAGAGACTGACCTGTAGAGCTATCCTGATTCTAGTTTCCAACCGTTCGAAGTCGTCCTGGGTTATTTCAATCGTGCCCCGCGCTCCCGCCTCGAGCGCAACCATTCCCGCGCTCGATATCATCCCGATCCGTGACCATTGAAATCGGTTCCGGTAGAATGAAGCTGGTAAGCCGGACCCCACAGGCGCGGCGGAGGCAAGTTTCGCTGACGCCGAACCGCCGCCGTATCGTTGTTCTGTATGCTAAGTATCGAATTGCAACACAGCCTGCATTAGCTCAGAACAGTCAGCTCAGAACAGTCGACCATCGACCGCACGACCAGTCAGTCAGGCAGTCGGCCAGCCAGCCAGCCGACGTGACCTTGAAGACTCCGTTGAATTGAATATGATGGAAATAGGGAGCTGAAAATGACAGTTTACCCGCGGCTAGCGGCGACGGGAACGACTTTCTTCGGGGGAGTAAGTGCGGTCCGTACTGGTTGGAATCCCCTCCCCGTACTCCCTATATTTCCCTTCCGAACGATTTGTCACGGAGATTTGCCAACCCACGCAAAGCTATCATTGGGTTTATTGAGAGCATGGCAATATTTTGTGTGGAAGGTGTTCCGACGGTGCACGTTTTTTCTTGAGGCAGCGGAGCGAGCAAGAAAGAGCGCTGCTGCTTGACTGACTGAGCTTCGTTCCAATTTACGCTTCGTAAGAGCGGCTCGCTCTACAGTGATCAAGTATAGAGCACCATGAGAAACCATTATATGCCTTGATAAATTGTCTGTGATAAGGTACAGATTACGTGGCAGGCCTTGCGGTCAAGGTCTACCAGATACGTTTATTCTGATTAAAAGGAAGATTGTGAAATCCTCGTTTCATCTGTCAGAAAATCCTTACCCATATGCATCGTCTTCTGACGACATGAATCATGTCGAGCGCAGCGGCTCTCTTCTGACTGGATCAATCAGAATGTGAGCGAGTAATAGATGGGAAACAGGGAATTTCGATCACAAAAAACGATTGTCCACGTGACTTGCGCAATCGAATGACTACGTAACGACGGTAACGACGGCGAAAAATGCCATCATTTCTTCACCACATTTCGCTTTACACTTCTTTTCACCAAATCACTATTTCTGTTGTTGACCGGAAAAAGAAGACCTTGCGATGGAGAACCCAGCGTGTCAAACCATTTGTGCTCAGTGTTGTAAGCGAAGCTCTCCTTCAGCTATTTTGGAGCAAGTCGATGGATAGCGAGTACGAGTTCAGCTTCGAAGAGAGTTTACGTCTGCCGTCTCCGACGGAACGAGTCGAGTCGCTTGTTTTCGGAGTCGACTCGAGTCATGATGGGGAAAAACAGCATTTCTGGACAATCATTTACCATTGCCTCAAATGTCTGGAATTCCCTGAATGAATCGTCTCCGTAAGTTTCCCGTCACAGACCAAGGAACAGGTACCTCTGCTTTCGCCAACAAGACTCAGCTGGTATGAAGCGCTGCGAACCGCAAAGATACTGGGAGCTGCGACCGGGGTCTGAGGAGCGGATTGAGACATTCATCACAGGTCGTATCCGGTGATGATTGAGTGAAGAATTCGATTTTTGAATTCGACTCAGCTCTGTTTGACAGGTCGTCCCTGAAATCTGTCGTCTCGATTGTGAGGCCTTCAAGCGGAAGCCCTCGCCGGCGGATAGACAATCCGACAAGCGAGCGCGCGCGCGGTGACGATCCACAGACAGCCAGACGGAGTGACAGACGGACAGATAAACGGTTAAACAGATACGCAGCCTTCTCCACCCCCTCTCCCTTGCACTCCTCGTGAAACCGGGGCTTGCGCTCCTCATTGTGACCGGTGTAGTTGGCTGGTGTGTTGACGTTGCAAGCCACGAGACTTCGCGTTCGGTTGTGATATATCTATATACATGATACACTTTGTTCATCTATACAGTGCCCCATCGTCCAGTTCCAGTAGGGGGCGAGGCCCCCCCGCTTTTCGTTTGTTTGTGTTTGTCCTCGTCACTGTTTTGTGCTTCCCGTGATCGTACTCGTCGTAATTGTTTAACCGTCGTATTGGTGCTCTTCGCTCTTGTGCGGCGCTCGATTTCCGAGAGGCGAAGCCGAACGTCATCTCGGATGCTCTGCCACCTGCCCATTATGCGCCCCTGCTACTAGCTCGGAGCAAACTGTAGACGGCAGCCTTTCGCGAGCTTGCAAGGATAGTCTTTTGCTCGGATTGCGCATTCGGGATATGTAGCACCAAACACTATGCAGTCATCGAGCATACACCTCTGTGCCATATTGGTTTTTATCATTGGTAAGCCATTGATTTTCTAAGCTTCATACACCCTGGATTCGTGACCGATGAAGTTCACCGAGCCAACGAGCGGGCTCGGGTTCTTCGCGTTCCATCACTTTCCCGATTTACGTTTACCGGAACTTGATCGATTCATAAAGAGAACTCTGAGTTCGAGGACCGCGGTAGTGTCACCAGAATCTCGAGCCTCTGACCTGGGATGCTCACGAAATGGAGAACGACTAGCGTACTCAATGGCGCCATCCGACTGCGCGAATGAGCGAGACGACCATTCCGCGCCCCTTGTCGTCTGAGTGCGATAGGGAGATTGTCCAGAATGCTCCGGGATACTTTCGCTTGCTTCCGCGCTGCGTAAGAGGGCGGACACATCTCTAGCGACGCGTGGCCTCGAGTGACTCCTCGAGCATGGTCGCGATTCGTTTGAGCAGGAGCTATGCGCACAATGCCGTCCGCATGCCTGGTCCTGACACCTTCCCCCATCATTGGCGAAGCATCCCGTAATCCCTGAAGTATGATGTTGGAAGATAGAGCTTGACTTGGCCCAAAAACAGGCGACTAGAAGTCGGCCGTCCCGTTGAGTTTTTTTCATGGCTGAAGGCAACCCGAAAACATTGGCGGTAATCCGACATCTGCAACGATCCTCCTATTTTTAGTTCTTGTTCCAGTAGCGAATCGTATGGGGAGCCTGAGCTTTTTTTTGGGGCGAGGGGGAAAGCATAACCTTCTTGAACGTCACTAGTGTGCATGCTTGATAGGTTCTACTTACAGGAGCAATTTCTTACGGGAAAGATGGAGTGCATCTGAGAGCTCATCCAAATCGGGCGAATCATACGACTCTAGTCTCGTCTGCAAGTAGGTTCACCCAAGAATATTCTCAAGCCTTTCGCTGACACCGGGAGGATGAGGTCTCGGTCGATAGGGATTGTGTCGAAGCTTGAGCTCGGACTATCGCTTTCGCTCTACAGGTGGAAAGTCATTCAACAATCTTGAGGAGCATCTATATAGGAATGAATCGAGGAACATAATTATTGCTGATGTCCCGTTTCAACGCAAGCTGACGAGAAAGAAACGTTCGGTGCTGCAACTGGCTTCGATGCTAAAGTGTGTAACTGGATGCAGTCCGCTCGCGTTCCACGGATACGGCTGTTTCTGTGGATACATGGGCGACGGGTCGCCGGTCGATCCGATTGACAGGTATAGATCCTAGGGTGGCGATGCAGTCTACATCGGCACCGAAGGTCTTGTACCGCACCAGATATGAGCACTCTCGGTCAGTGCTTCCGTCGTCGACGTGGAGTAAGTCTCTGACCATAATCCGCTTACAGCTGCTGTCTCGAACACGATTGGTGCTATTCATCGACTCACTGCTCGCATGTAGCCACTTACTTTCTGCCGTACGATTGGCATTGTGGAAGCCATGGTTATGCGTATTGTGGTGAGTCCCCGAGCCGAACGCTATCCTCGTTTACGACGAATTTAAAGGGGAAGGTAAACTACGAATCACTACAGCGAAAGAACAAACATTCTGTCTTTTCGACGCAACTTCGCAATATTCCCGCCATCTTTATTTCTTCGGGAGCCGAGCTTTGTGGCTTTCCATGGCGGCCAAGCGAATCTGACACTTTCACGCCCAAGAAAGCGTATGCTACTTGACTCTGTCCGATCGGGAAATCAGACTGTCGATCGGCGGCTAGCGTGAGACTATCACAAATTCGCGAAGTGGCCCAATCAACGTTCACCCAATGGAAAGTTTCTGTGGTGATTGCGTCGTTCTAAGTTTCACGATTTTTCACAGATTTCACAGGATCTGCCAGCCCTCATGCGAGCTGTGCCCAGCAACTCTGCGCTTGTGATGCTGCTTTCGCCAAATGCATTTCGAAGTATCCATGTCCCGTTCGGCGGGCGAATTGTAGACAAGGAAGATCTCTCATTCGGAGCATATTCGGCAGGAGATAGCATGAGTTGAGCTCTGTTCTCGAGGGTCTGCGTCGAGGACAGGCGAGTGTGGAAAAAAACGGAGCGTTTCCTGCAGCGCCGCGCAGACCGACGCCATTGAACGAACCGACTTTTTACAGGGCGACGATCCCTCCCTACGAAGCAACATAGAAGAAGTTCTGGATTACATGCTCGCAGACGACGATAATCCCGACAATGAAGAATTGGTATTGAAATCAAGCTGGATGTATACCAATACGCAGGTTATTCCATAATGTCGACCCTTGAAGAAGCTTCTCTTCCCGCTTCTCTCCACAAGGTTGAAAAGATACGAAAGCTCAAGACGAAGCTCTCGCTAACGGCCGGTATTCACGAAGACCCTTGGACTAAACTTCCGGCTCTCCATGTGAAAGCAGAGGTTGACCAGACGGAGCTCACAGCGAGCAGCAAAAAACTTCCCGAAGATCCCAGCATTGTCGTGGGTGAGTTTAGTTGCAGAGCAAGCGTTTGAGCTCCTCTCGCGCGTTTCAAGCGTTGGCTATAAAAAAACACGATTTTTTCTGCGTCTTAGAAGAGTCCTTCAAAGATGAGGCCGACCAAGATGCCCGCGAGGAATCGTCGGAGTTCCCACTGGAGAAGAAGATCGGAGTGATTTCGAAAAATTCAACTGTCGCACACAACGCCACGCAAAGAGAAGAGCTAGGCCCAGGGACCGACCGTCAGGCAAAACCCACTCACGCTCCAAGCCGATGGTACGCCAGATTGTACCGCGGTCTCTCGTCTATACGCTCGAAGAACTCGACGAACAATATCCTGGAATATATCTTTGGCTCTTCTGGAGTCCCGAACTCAGGACTGAGCAGCCCCCTCAGTAGCCGAGCGAATCACAGTGGTAGTGAGACAGTGGGGAGTACAACGGGCTACTCCAGTCGCGGTACGAAAACACCGAAAACTTCTTCTTCATCGACGAACCTGACGAGGTCACCGCCAGCCGCTTCGACCTCATCTTATGTAGCGCAAAGGCCGCCCGCGTGAGATCGCGTCCGACCGGGAGCATCAAGATTTTCTGTGAATATTCATGATCAGACACTCCATCTAATATTTCGCACGCGCTGGGAAGACGTAGCATCATTTCTCATTGTATACAGATCAGCATTTGATTCAATTGAGAATATTCTTGCTTTTGGAAACCGAGGCATTCCCGCGCTGGTGTAGAGGGTGACTCCATGTGGAAATTCGAAAGGACAATGAGTCCTATGCCACGGGAGACCCGAATCCGTCGAGACAACTACGAATACAGGCAGGTGAGGACTCAAGCCTCAGAAGGAGCCCGTTCGTTCCCCCCACAAACCAACGCGGGGAATACTCGCACGACCAGCATGCTCCGCCGGAGACGAACAAAGTCTGCTTCCGGCACTCCGAATCGCCTCGGATCTGCCTGGAAAGATCCAAGAGCTCACGGCGTGGGTGTCGGAGTCGTATCTATCATCTTCGACGGAGCAATGTGTTCCTTTCAATTCGCTTATGTCATGAGCAGAATAGAAGGTCGGCGGTTCAAGGGTCGAACAGGAGGCCTCGTCTGCGGGGCCCGCGAAGAGCTTCAGAAGATTGACGCCGAAGGCTACCGGTCAAATTGTCAATGCAGCCAGACCCATATCTGTAGGTGTCGACACAATGGAAATACTAACTGCGGCTCACTGAAAACATTTAGAAAAATCGTATATTCCATAAGTGTGGAGCTTTCGCTTTCAAGAAGGCCGGCACTCTGTCTCGATTCTCGCTCTTCTGAGCGAATGATCTCTCAAGCGTGCCTTCTGTGGATTCATTAGGATTTACTGTCACCGTAACCGCTGTCTTCTGCCGCCGCCGCCGGCTCCGGTCGAACGAGGAGTGATCTTACTGAGCGAGTCTCATGACTGATGGAGCCAACTCCGTCGGACTGAAGTCAAACGGCTGACTGAGTAAACGACTGACTGACTCGAATGAATAACCGAGAAAACGAGTGACTGATTCAACGACGGAGTGAACGAGTGACTGACTGACCCAACGACAGAGTGAACGACTGACTGACGGGCTGAAGGAACGACGGACTGACTCGAAACCAAGGACAAACAAGCGGAACTTTGCGGACGCAAAAATGAAATCGGTGATCGCGTGTTCTGAGGCGGCTATACCTCGTCTGTTCTCACTTTCTCGGTCACACTTCATCGATTCTCGAAATGAGATGGAAGGTGAGCGGAAGGACGCGAATCATCATTGATGTGCAGCCAAGTCTGATCTATCGATCTTTATGAGATCCTCGCTCACATCGTTCGCGTTCGAGCGCGGCAACCCAGTCGAGCGTGATCAGTTCTTGAGGCGTATTTGGCTATAATAAAAACAGTGTTTGAACGGTCGAGTTCGAGCTCTTAGCCTTCCGAATTCTCTCTCGTCGCGTTTTCCGGGCTTGGAATGCAGCCATTGAATGCATGATTCCCTCACTTCTCCAACAAAGTATGTACCTAGTTTTGTGGAGCCGCCTCGCTGCGAGGAGTCGCTCTACGGAGCAGCTTTTGCAGCCTCCTCTCTTGAGGTTGGAAACGAATGTGACTTCCTTATGCTGCCAGCCTAAATGACAATGTGAAGATGACCCTTTGAGAACTGCTAGTGTATCGAGGAAATCCACAGAGACTTCCTGATTTTTCTTCTGTATTCGAAAGCGTTTCAGGAATTCATGACTATCATCGTGGTCTTGTGATATGATTATATACTACGTGGTCACGATGGTGGGATGCAGCGATGGATACTCTAAGCCACAAGCCGAGCAAGAGCTCGCAACGATCAAAAGCCTGCATGGTATCGGGCGGAGCAGTAGCGTGCACC